GGTTCGCGTCTATACGTGTAGTATGGTGGTTGGGCCTACCCACCCTATTTGTTCCATGATCTATGGGTCTACTGGAGCTACCCACTTCGATCAATTAGCCAAGATTTTGACCGGATACGAAATCACTGGTGCTCAATCTAGTGGTATTTTTATGGGGATTCTATTTATCGCTGTAGGATTCCTATTCAAGATCACTGCAGTTCCTTTTCGGGCGGCTGTAGGACGGACGGCCGCCTATAGGTGGTACGGTAGGGTGGGTGGTACCGCTCAGATTGTGGCCAATCTTCCTAACCGCGCGCGGGCCAGGCTTAGAGCGCGTGAAACTCATCACTACCTCGTAAGGGCATTGAGACCATAGCATGTTACACGAAAGCGCCGCTTTCTCTGTAGTGTTGTCACACAGCTGCCCGCCTAGAAGCGCCACTCGCTCCGTAGTGTTGTCACACAAGATAAGCACACCGCCCGCCTGCTGGCCGGGCGAATCGAAGTTCTCTTCCGGTCAACTGTCCACCCAGTCAAGTGCAACAAACACAGTAGAATCACGCAACGCACGCTGCTGGTGTGCTTCCTGCCCGCGGGGAAAGAAAGAAGAGCGACAAGGTTTAGTTCAGATTTTACTGTTTGCAGCATGGGAGCGGATTACCCAAAAAATCCCTGGGAACAATGAAAAAAAAAGATATCTCGGTAACGAAAACTATAGGGGGCTGTATTGGCGAGATCCAACGGTGAACAGCTGCCCAAAAGAAAGACCGCCTGGAAGTCCGAGGACCTTTAGTACCGTACCCTGCCCCCGAACCAGCAGCCTTCGCGCCAAGCAAGACCGCCCTTGCCCCTTTCCTTTCTTCATTCCCCCTCTTTCTTTGCTTTGTTCCAATAGAGTGACAGGCAAAGCAAAAGTGGTTCATATGCCTACTTTACCTACTTGACGAAAGGGAACGAACTTTGTTTCGCTTCGGGGTTTATGGATTGGAAAAAGTAAGCGTCACGACATAATAAAAAGGAAGGAGTGACGCTTTGCGGCGAACGCTTCCGAAGGCGACCCTTTCGACTCTCCGGCTCCACCAGCAGCCTCTCCTGAAGTACCAAAGGTGCACTCCGCTCGGTGACTAAGAAAGAAATTGGTTTGCGCTTGAATTGACGTGATGAGGTCGCAAAGGGGGAAGTAGGGCTCCTATTGACATGATACATGTTCTTCGGTTTCCTTTAGAATGCAAAGTAGCTATGAAGCCCCTACTACTTACTTTCTTTGATTCAAAAGGCGAACAGCCCCCCCAAGTAGTCGTATGGGGTGGGGTCCTTGTGGTAAGCTGCCTCTGCCTTGGATATGAGGAATTCCTAAAAAAAGGCAAAGTCGGGTATTTGACGAAGATCTTCCTATCAATAGATAGGAATTGATGTTCGATATAGGGTTGGAACAAGTCTGCTCTTTCTCTCTCCATTTTTTTAGAGAGAGCAGATATAACGATAGAAAAAAGAATCGGAAGATGATAAAGAAAGGATACATAGACAAAGGTCTTTCTATTCCTCTTTGTTTTTCGACAAAAAAAAAAGATATCTCGTTCATCTATCTTTTGTCTATCTATCATTTCTTCTATCTATGAATCAAGTAGAAATACTTTTTTATTGGGTGCCAAAAATGGATTTGATCCTTTCTGCCAACGAAATGAACGCGGAGCCCGTTCCGAATGCTTTTCTTATCTGGAAGTTCTCGCGAAAAGAATAAGATGCTGCTCCCCCTCCCTCTGTCTTTTCTCGTTTTGCTAATCTTCCCCTCTAACGCGGGCCGGGCGCTTTCTTTCCCTTATTAGTAAAGGGGCGCGGGAGGAAGAAACCTAAGAGAAAACACTCTTCTCTTAGGTCCTTCTTTTTTCAGTGCAACACAGGAAAGCGCCCTCTTTTTGTCATCCCTGCAGCTTTCCAGATTTTGTATTGAACGCATGGCGTAGCTAGGATCTTCAAATCATGTTTGAGCCTATGTTCAAACCAAACAACACCCCCTATTTATTTGAATAAGGCTGGAAAGAATGCCCGCCAAGTTCAGATAAGGGAATGCTTCCCCCAACCATTAAAGGAAAGGCTCGACGAAGGAGGGGAGACGCGGCGGGGGAAGGAAAAGGCTTTCGAAGATCGATATTTTTTTTTCTTTTTCATCGAAAACGAAGAAGGCCGAGGATGGTCTACGGTGCGTGTTATCTGAAGGGAACACGCTTTTTCGACCGCGGTGGTATGATTGCCGTATCCTCCCCTCGTTCCGCCCGCCGGCCTATTGGGATAGCACCCTTCGGGCTGCCCTTTTTTAGGGAGAATTCTGGCTCGGCCCCGGAAAGCGCTGGCAACAACAGAAAGGAAGGGGTCCATGTAGCTGCTGTGCCCGCCCCCTTCTTAGTCAATGGGGCAGCAGGTTCGGCATCTACTATAAAAGAGAGAATCCACTTCAGATAACCACGCCTCCGCTAGGCAGCGTGTGGAATGGCCGAGAGCGGACCTTTTTGGATATATAATCCAAGTCGAGAGTGGAGTTACGGGAACAGCCGTCTGATGGAAAACAACTTTCACGTTCGGTTCAGAGAGCACTTTTTTCGTTGAAAATTCCTCGTTCCCTTTCGTGTTAATTCCTCCGCGGCGAATTAAAAACTTGTGGGGCCCTATCTATTCCATCTCTCGAGCCCCGAAGAAAATCCCCTTCCCCTCTCCATATCTCTTTTGACTCTATATATGTGGGCACCTGATATCTATGAGGGTTCGCCCACCCCGGTTACTGCATTCCTTTCTATTGCACCTAAAATATCTATTTCTGCTAATATTTCACGTGTTTCTATTTATGGTTCCTATGGAGCTACATTGCAAAAAATCTTCTTTTTTTGCAGCATTGCTTCTATGATCTTAGGAGCACTGGCCGCCATGGCCCAAACGAAAGTAAAAAGACTTCTAGCTCATAGTTCAATTGGACATGTAGGTTATATTCGTACTGGTTTCTCATGTGGAACTATAGAAGGAATTCAATCACTACTAATTGGTATCTTTATTTATGCATTAATGACGATAGATGCATTCGCCATAGTTTTAGCATTACGGCAAACCCGTGTCAAATATATAGCGGATTTAGGCGCTCTAGCCAAAACGAATCCTATTTCGGCTATTACCTTCTCCATTACTATGTTCTCATACGCAGGAATACCCCCGTTAGCCGGCTTTTGTAGCAAATTTTATTTGTTCTTCGCCGCTTTGGGTTGTGGGGCTTACTTCCTAGCCCCAGTGGGAGTAGTGACTAGCGTTATAGGTCGTTGGGCGGCCGGAAGGTTGCCACGAGTAAGTAAGTTTTGGGTACCGAAGGCAGTTCTCCGTGCACCGGACACGTAGCTTACCGAATCAGTTGCGACACGGATGGGAATGCATGCTACGAAAGATAGGGTAGAGTCTGATACATCAACCGTCTACTCAATATCTTTGTACGAGTCCACAATCACTACGCGAGATGAACCTTGGTTTGGTAAATTTAAGTTGGCCTTAGGTGTAATAGGACTCCCAGTTACTGCACGCGATCGTATACTGAGGTGCTCCCCGCCGGTTGTTGGAACGACGCGAGCCGGGCCTCGATTCAGAAAGAGGAAAGGCGCAAAAGTCTAAATAGGGGGTTACAAATTCCCCATCTCATTGGGGGCGGAAAACGAATCGACATCTCGAGTTGAAAATACCTTTTCTATTTTAGTTGGGAAAGAACGGCGAAGTCCATCCGAACCGTCCAATGAAGAATAAGAGGAGAACAAAGCGCCAATGGCGCGCGAAGCGCATGCGGAACGGGCACGGAGAAAAATAAGTGTGGAGGAGAAGCAGCCGAGCTCATTCCCTTCGCTTCCTGGGCCCAAAGCAGTGCAGTCTTTCCTGGTCAAATCAAAGATTTGGGGCTTCTTGCTACGCTACTTAACTATAAAAATCCTTTTTTTTTAGTTAAATATATGAATAGAAAGATAGATCTATCTTATCCGATTTCTATTTTGATATCTAAAAAAGAATCGATTTCATTCAACGTTTGATTCAAAGAACTGCGCTTAGCCCCCCCCGCTCATGAAACGGCTCTGCTGCAATGGATGGCAGAGGGTCCGTAGTACCCATAGCACTGGAGTGATCCAGTAGCCGGGAAGGGGCCTAGAAGTGCCTACTACTACACCACACTACACTTGGCTCTACACATTTAGAGAGCTAACCCCTGCCCAGTGCCTGGCAGAGCTAAAGGGCTTCAATCCTTATTCCTTATCCCCATCTTCGCCCAGGCTAAGGAGGCCTTACTTATTCAGGGGGGAGAGTGGAGCCTCAAGAAGCACTGTTGAGAGTTCATTCCCCCCTCTCACAAAGTTAGAGTATATTCGTTCCTCTCCTTCTTGTTCTAATTAAAATGCGAGCAACTTCGTTCCTTGGCCCCTCTTCATTCTCTACAGGGTTCCAAACCTTTCTTCAACATAGGTGACAAGGAGCGAGGCAGAGATGTAAGAGATCGAACACGGGAATAAGAAAGCAAGCTCGCCTTGCTTTTTTCTCATTTTGATAGAGGGGGATGGAGAAAGTGGACAAAACAGACTCGCATTTCTCATAGAACAAATACGGGAAAAAAGAATATTGAAAACGTTCCTAACCCAACCCCTTCCTTCGTAGAGCTGTGTATTGTAAGTGATCCGAACCTGCCCGGAGCGAGCCTCCCATAGAGGCAAGTGAAGTTGGTGAGCCGTATGATGGGCAACTATCTCCTGCGGTTCGGAGAGGACTCAGCTGTTAGTTAGTACCCGCTTGGTTTCGGGATGGACTCTTTCACTCTATTTTATTATATACGCTTAGCGAAAAGAATGTTTTTTGATACACCTAGGACATGGATTCTATATGAACCAATGGATCGTAACAAGTCGTTACTACTAGCAATGACTTCCTCTTTCATTACTTCATCCTTTCTATATCCCTCTCCCTTGTTCTCAGTTACTCATCAAATGGCACTCAGTTCATATCTTTAAGTTCGATCATTGACAAGGTTCAAAGAAAGGGTGGGCCATTGATAAAGAATCGATTTCAAACCACAATGCTAGCAGATGGCGGGCCTCCGCTTTTTTTTTCATTAATGAAACCTGCCAGTCATTATGGACTCAAATCAAAAGGAAAAAAAATTTGATTATTCAGGTGTTTGCCTCTTTGTTCAAAAATTTAAAAAAGAAGAATGCTGCTTTTTTTTTTTAACTTAAGTAGAGGGAGGAGGGCTTGGGGCGGAACAACACAACAAAGATGATGAAATGAAGAAAAATGAACTTAAGGCGTCGGAGGAAGGACTGACGAACTACTTACTTGTGTTTGGTTAACTACTTTACTTACTTTGGGGTTCTTTCTCGTAAGTGGTACACCTACACCCCGCACGCACACTCTATCTATCTAAATAGGTATACGTTGATAGCCTTTCGAAAAAAGCCCCTCTCTGTCTACTAAATAAAGTTTTTTCAGACCGAAGAATAGCAAGGCCCGGATCCAGCTGAAAAAGTGAATAGAATACTCTAAAATGCTTCATAGTTCTTCCCTAATTGAAGCAAGTTGGAAAGCCTTCATAGCCTCAGCCAGCCCCTACTCCTATAATAGAAAGTGAAAGTTGCTGGCACCCACCATACCTTACTTCGGGGGCGATCTTTTGTATCGAAGCAAATAAATATTAAAAAAAAATGGAGTTTGCTCCACCACAAATAGATTTCGCCGCATAGATTGGATAGAGTCTTCCATCGTTCCTATGTGGATTACCACCCCCTCTCTGGTCCATAGAAAAAAACCGGGGGAAGAGCCCTATTCGACGGTCCTCCGGCTACTATGACGGATGAATATAAAGCATCCAGGGCCCCCGGCGCCCAATCTACCTTCGACGGCACCCATACCATCGTCACTTGAGGTTGTGTATATTGCTCGGATTCGCTTTTCGATTTAGGAGTTCTAGTGCTTGCCTTATCTGTAACCCATTCCGCGCTTAGAAAGCATGAAGTTGGGAGAGGGTAATTCCACTTCTGATCTAGCAAAGCACTCGAAAGCCTGCGGGGAAGGCTAGTCTATTGACTTGTTTACTGTAGAGAGGTTAGCGCTAGCAAGTCTTAGAAAGCTTGCTGGATGAGAGAAAGAAGATGATAAGCCTAAAGCAGATGAACCAAAAGGGAGTACTGGAAGCTAAGCGAACCAAGGTATGGAGCTAAACAACAGGCGTAGGCCAAACCAAAGCGTTACGGTCAAGCGGTAGTCCCCGGCATCCATACTGGATCTTCGGGTAAGGGAAACAAAGACGCTCAACAAAGGAAAACTGTTTCAGAGTTTCATTTCAAGCACCTTTTATCTCTGCTGTCGCATATCAGCTGTTGAGATAAGCCATATCTTTCAATTTCTCCAAGTCCTCTTTCCGATCGAAGCAAAGAGGCTGGCTCTAATGCTCTCATCCCCAATCCCCCGATCCATGACAGCCAATAACAGACAGAAGAGAGAGAGCACAGACAGATCGATCCCTCCTTGCCGAGGAGCTCTTGTTAGTCCTTGTTTCAGGAATTGAATCAATAGTTGATCAAAGTTTTTTAGAAATCCATAAAAAAATTATCAAATCCTATAAAATTCGTAGCGTCAAGCGTCGATACTGACTTCAATGAGTTTTAATCGAAATGAGACTTTCTCAATTGGTCCTCGGGAAAGTGGTCAATCGGCTTCGTTGAATCGCTTCTTGAAATAGAGATTATGTTTAGCTCATCGGGCTAGAATATGTATATCGATATGTCACCCCGTCCTGCCCTTGTCTTTTTGTTCAACTGGTAAAGGTCATTGCCTGTCTCAAAGGGTCGGATCCGCATTAGTCTAAGGTGCTTGCTCCTTTGAGTTGGACTTAGAGAAGAGAAATGGCCCTTGAAAGACTTTTCAAATTTCTTTAGGACTCTGACTCTGTCTATGTCCATACGGCCTGACGAGTGAAATCCTGAGTTTAAACGAGGTCAGAAGAGTAGGCCTGGAAGGGATTGCTAAAATCTCGTACTCTATGAAATCATTTTCGAAAAAAGGGAGCCCTTTTTAGGCTAGAAAGTGAATTCCACTTTAGACAAGTCTAGCAAAGCAGCTCATCTGAAATCTTTCTTCTTCAATGTCTGTCCGTCGGTCTGGTCTATCTGAACTCATGGCATGCCTGCTCTTCCTATCCCAGGGGCCAAGACCGTCTTCAATAGCTGCGGATTCTGGTTCACTTCCTCACAGAGAAAGAAGAAGGAGTTGTGCCATCTCTATCAGCTAGTGTTTTTGCCTTTTTCCCAGTTATCGGGCTTACCGCTGTTAGGAATCGATTAGACTCGATGCCAATAAGAGAACAGGGCAAAGAACTGAACTTCTAAGCTGGGTTGTGCAAGTGAGCTGATCTCGCCTTTGTTGATCCGCTTAAAGAGTTCTTTCCTTGAATGGAAGGAGATAGAAATAAATTATTCTCAGCTTCTACTTCGACAGACGATTCTCTTCTTCATTCTTTTTGTTTATCTAGGAGTTCTTCGAGCGCGTGAGATTTCAATGACAGTTTGATCACTCGACCCCGTCCGGTCCTATTTCAAACAAAAGAAGCAAAGAAGGGAAATCTTCGTAAAGACAGCAAGGGGTGTCACCTTCGAATTGAGTAGTGAGCCTTCTTGGATGGGCCGGCTTCCTCTGTCCTGGTCTCTACTTCCTCAATCATAGCATTGATTTCCAACCGTCACAGGCCCGACAACTCCTCCTGACTTGCATCCTTCTTTGAGTCGTCGGGTGCAAACAGGCTTAGAGCAGATCGCTCTACCGCAGCTGGACGCGGAAAGGTAGCCCTGATGTGGGGGATTTTAATTGGAGCATCAAAAACTGGACGTCCTTGAGCCTGGGCCAACCTTCTTCCCCTATCTCTGTCCGAGATCTTCGATACCGACGTTCAATGCAGAATTGGGCATTTATCTTTAACAAACGCTTAGCACAAAAACATGAAGTACCATTCATTATAGGGCACGATAACGTTGCTTAAAAAAAAGCCTTTCTTTTTGCTCATTCCTAGTTCCCAGGGGATGATCTCGGATTGAAAGCCGCTCTGCACACTTACTCTCAATTTAATCCTTTTGATGATGAGCATACCGGTAGGGTCGAACTACCACAGGCTGCGAGTTGGGTTGGAGTTTCAAGCTGGTAATTGCCAACTCTCGTAGCGTAAGTTCCAGAGTGCGTTCTTTTTCGCCCACAACCGATCGAACATATAATAGCTCTCCGAGCCTTCCTTTTATGAGTCCTCAACATGATCTTTCATACATACCCTCTCTTTCCGCTTCTCCTTCCTTACTGCATTTATGAGTATCCAAAATTTTCTCCTTGAAGCAAGTCTTCCCCGGTTGTCAAGTTAGTGAGTGCACTACATTGAGTAGGAATTGGAATAAGTTATCTTAGAATTAGAAAAGGTAACTGAATGCGTAACCGCTGCTTTCGTATCAGCTGTGAGTCTTGAGGAAGGAGGATAGATTCACTATGAAGGGGAATTGATTAGATGATGTGCAGCCATAAACCTCTGCTCTGGGCAACCATCGGGAAATGCCATTCATGAAAGGTAAGGTAGAACATCTTTCAGGGTTCATTCTGCCTTTTCTTTCCCGTTTAGAGAAGAACCTAATTTCAGTCAATCTCTTGACCTCATTCGGCCTATCTCTCCTCGATTCTCCTTATTCGGAGTTGAGTCGCTTTCTTCCTTCGCCCTTCTCCCTTCGCCCTTCGGGCTCATATATTCCCTTCCTCTCCTTTCAGTCGAGCAACTTCGCACCTTCTCCCTACGGTCGAACATATTCCCCTCCTCTCCTTCTTGTTCTAATTAAAATGCGAGCAACTTCGCACCTTCTCCCTACGGTCGAACATATTCCCCTCCTCTCCTTTCAGTCGAGCAACTTCGTTCCTTCGCCCTTCGGGCTCACTACTTCGTTCCTTCGCCCTTCGGGCTCACTACTTCGTTCCTTCGCCCTTCGGGCTCACTACTTCGTTCCTTCGCCCTTCGGGCTCACTACTTCGTTCCTTCGCCCTTCGGGCTCACTACTTCGTTCCTTCGCCCTTCGGGCTCACTACTTCGTTCCTTCGCCCTTCGGGCTCACTACTTCGTTCCTTCGCCCTTCGGGCTCACTACTTCGTTCCTTCGCCCTTCGGGCTCACTACTTCGTTCCTTCGCCCTTCGGGCTCACTACTTCGTTCCTTCGCCCTTCGGGCTCACTACTTCGTTCCTTCGCCCTTCGGGCTCACTACTTCGTTCCTTCGCCCTTCGGGCTCACTACTTCGTTCCTTCGCCCTTCGGGCTCACTACTTCGTTCCTTCGCCCTTCGGGCTCACTACTTCGTTCCTTCGCCCTTCGGGCTCACTACTTCGTTCCTTCGCCCTTCGGGCTCACTACTTCGTTCCTTCGCCCTTCGGGCTCACTACTTCGTTCCTTCGCCCTTCGGGCTCACTACTTCGTTCCTTCGCCCTTCGGGCTCACTACTTCGTTCCTTCGCCCTTCGGGCTCACTACTTCGTTCCTTCGCCCTTCGGGCTCACTACTTCGTTCCTTCGCCCTTCGGGCTCACTACTTCGTTCCTTCGCCCTTCGGGCTCACTACTTCGTTCCTTCGCCCTTCGGGCTCACTACTTCGTTCCTTCGCCCTTCGGGCTCACTACTTCGTTCCTTCGCCCTTCGGGCTCACTACTTCGTTCCTTCGCCCTTCGGGCTCACTACTTCGTTCCTTCGCCCTTCGGGCTCACTACTTCGTTCCTTCGGGCTCACCCAATTCAATTAGCACCTTGGACTTGTCTGGGGGATGGATGTCTGAGCGGTTGCGCCTTTCCTCATTCTGTGTAAAAAACAACTTCTTGTTCTTTTATAGGATTGGCTATATAACAAGTTTTTTCTGTGTTTTCTCTCTTTCCTATTCCCTTCTCTTTCCCACTATAGAAGGCCCTAATTATACGCGGCCTTTCCAGGTCATTCTACAGCTTTCTCTC